ACCTTGAACAAGAAACTTTGATCTTTTTTATTGACTAGCTTGTTTCTATATTTTTAGATTATCCAAATAAAAGACCAAGACTTGATTTTAATAACATTCCTTTAGATTTAAACCAACCTCTTACACCACTTTTAAAAACTGACGGACTTTCTTGGGATTATCAAGAATCACCAAAGTTGGAAGAAGAATTAAGAGTGCATGTTCAGGATCTATATAGCGTGTTTAAAAAAAATAGACGTGACAAATCAAATACGCTAATATTTTTTATGGTGTCTGGTGCTGGATGTGGGAAATCTCGAAATGCAACAGAGATTCCTAAAACACTTTGTAAAATATTTGTAAATGATTTGGAATTGAGACCTCGTTTGGAAGATGCACTTATCTTTGCCATCACTTTTGAAAATGGTACAAAATCAACTTGTCTACCGAAACTGATGCAAATGTTTCAATTTCTAAGCGAATGTTATACCAGCTTCAGGATCAGCTTCTCTGGAATGAAATTTGTGATGATATACAGACCCTTTCAATTACTGATATACTTAAAAGATGTGCTAATCAAAAAAACGTAGCACTAAAGGAACTAACCGTGATCCTCATTGTTGATGGATTGCAAACTACTCTAATCAATGAAAATGATGGTATGGACAAACGATCATTGTTCTATTCTTTTTTGACGGAGATATCTCTTATTACCACGAACAATAAATACCCCTTTGTTATTGCGTGTTGCACAGCAACTTTAGTACGTCCATTCCATCAAATGGTTGCTGATTCTCATCAAAAGTGATAAAGGAACTTTAACATGTTCATATATCTGGTTGTGGTTAATGGCAAATACATCATATGATGATCGTATTCTACTTAATTGGAATTTTAAGTACTACAGAGAATTACAGTCTAATGACGGGGACCTAACCATTCCTCCTGGTTGTCAATTTTGGCAACATTTCGAACATTTCATTGCCTCTTTTCATGTCCTTAAATCAAATGTATTTGAAACTGATGAAGAAATAAAATTACAAGATATTCATGCTGACGCGAAACATCACTTTGGTACAGCTACCATTAGGAACGTATTACTATCATTGAAGAAAGCTATCTGGCAAGAAAGTACCAAATCAAGTGCCTATTCTACCAATAAAATGGTAACTTGTAAGAGAGGGGATAATCAAATTAATTTTAATCTTGAAAACGCATCTGCTTGTATCATTAATGGATCAAGTGCATCTTTTGGAGATTCATTTTGCCTGGTTCATTTTGCAAACTCTCCTCAACTTTATATAGAAAGCCATCAGACCAAGTGCCTGAAGTCACAAACAGTGAGCCAACAAGTGTTTAATGAAGAGTATGAAAAAGCAAGTGATAAAGATGATATTTTTTTACTTTACACTTGTGGGTCTTCCAATGTAACGAGATTGTCACCATTGTCTGCTATTGTTGACTGTGATTGTTGGAAGTTGTATTTTGGTCCCTTTGCAGAAAAGGCATTCCTCTTAGTGTAAAGTGATAAATTCAACATCAACAATTGCTCAAAATCTGAGCTGACATCAATCTGTAGGATAGGCTCTAAACGTGCCGATCTTTTGAAGTCTATGAGACCATATGACAATCTAGAAGATTGCATTTACAAAACTAAAATTCCCCATAAATTCTTGATTAATTTCTGATTCGGCTGAGTCAACTTAAGAATTATGTTGCAGTCTTGTGGAAATGATGAAAATTTAATAACAATAGGAAAGATTATGTTTCGATAGATAGCAAAGAAAAAAACCAATATTTTAGAAATAATATAAAATAATATGACGCTGATATTACCAATAAAATTTTCCCGTATGCATCAGAAAATAAAAAATCTACATAGCGCATGAAAACAAAAAAATTTTAAGATACATTTTATTAATAAGTTTTGAGGTGTGATCAACATAAAACTATAATTTTGAAAACTACAAGATTTAGCAAATTTTCGTAAGAAAACTTCCCCAAGAAGAAATGATTTCAGATCTATTGCATTGTTCTGAAGCAAAAATTTCACTAACCAAGGCTCTTCTTTATATAATTTACAAGTGTTGATTTTGAAGAATTATAATCACGTCACAAAAATCTGAACATGTATTATAACTTACAATAGAAGCATTTGACGCTATCCTATATATAAGGATCAAAACTTTGAGTATATGCAGGAAAGTTCGAGAACAAATTACATGCAATTACTTATTCCTGTGAT